CTTCTTATATAATGGACAAAACGTGTTATTGGGGCTGAGAATGTGGCTTAGTGGTAGAGTGCTTGCCTAGCATGCGTGGAACCCTGGGTTCGATTCCTCAGTACCACATAGACAGAAAAAGCTGGAAGTGGTGCGTTGGCTCAAGTGGTAGAATGCTAGCCTTGAGCAAAAGAAAATTAGAGACAGTGCCCATGACTGGCAAAAAAAAAAAAAAAGAGAGAGAATGTTGTGAATAGATGGCTATTTTGCATTCAATGGGTGATTAAATTACATAAATACGATACTGTGGATTGGCTCAGAAGAATTTCTAACGTTGTCTAAATTAGGCAACATTAAGAAAGAAAGAACAGGGAAGATTTGGAATACTGGACCTTGAGAGACTGGTCTCACAAAGACAGTTTTACATGGTTTTACTCAGTGTGAGGCTATTGAGGATTTACATATTTCATATATTATCTAATGTGAAGGTTGACTGTATTTGCCTTTGGGAAATTGAATTGCCACACAATGGTTCTGCAAGTTATTTCACATAAATTATCTAATGATGATGGATATATTATATGAAAAAATATATATTATACTTTTCTGTAAATATGAGATTAAAGATTTTGAGGTTAAAGATTTTTTATATATGCAAATAACTAAAAATTTTAAGATGGATCAATATAGTTTGTAAAAAGAAGTGAGTGGGAAATTTAGTTTTTCTAGTTTTCAGTAGTCTCAGTTTTTATGTTGTGTAATAGGAAATATTGTATGGAGGAATAGTATGTTAATGTTATTGTGACTAATATGATAACATGGAAATGTCTTGGAAAATTTTTGTTGAGATTTCCTGTGTCTTTCAGATGTATTTATACAAATAGAGTTTTGTATGGGACCTAAAAATCTCTGTAATATCAATTTGCACTAGTAAGAGACATTTCTATATGTCACTGATATTTGACTTCAAATAATAATGAATCATTTTTGTTGAGTATGCTTTCAGTTTAGAGTCTGTTAGCAGTGGCATATCAAGCCTGTGATCATGGGCTTGGTTATCAGGACACTTTCATTATAGAACTATTAATTTTAAAACATAGTACAGTGAAAATGATGTTCAAGCCCCAATACTTTTTAGAGCATCTCTGTGTAAGCCATTGAGCAGCTTATGGGAAATTTTGTTATATGCATATAAAGCAAGCATAATGTATAATTGCAGTGCTTTAAATTTTAGGCCTTGATTTATAAAGGTGGCTCATCTACATAGCCTGAATATATAGATTTATATGCACTCAGAAACATATCCTATGTTTACATAAAATATTAGCATTAATTTATAAGAAAAATTTTGAGTTGCTAAAGACTTTTATGATTACTTAGATATGTAATGATGAAGGTAAATATTATTTTCTGTCATAATATTTGAATACAGATTATTATATTTTAGGAATAATTCAAACAGAAACATTTAATATACTGAGAATTCTAGACTGTGCTTATTTGGCTGATATGGGAGTGTATTACGATATTTTTATAAATTCCATTTTGGAAGATCCTTTGGATTTGCAACTCTTTTCTATCATGTATTTTACAGGCAAGGATTCTGTCATTGAAGCATTCATGCGTCTATTGTCAGTCATATTTTTGGAGATACATTTTTATGGATAAAAGTATTGGTTGAACATGAAGTAAGCATCTTAGTGAGTTCAGTTTAAAGAGTGGGTTTTGTTTATTTGCTTCATTTTTGGTTGTGGAAAGATTTGTAAAGTTACTTATCAGAGTATATACAACACTAACATTCATATTTTCAAAAACGTAAATTTATATTTCTCCAGTTTGACTGTCTTATCATTAAACATGCTACCTGTGTTCAGTTGTTGAGTGATTTGCAGAGCTGTAGAGCCTATGATAGCTATACGAATAATACATGAGTTTCTTATGTAACTAGCTTCCAAGATTTGTAGATTTCACACACTATTTTAATAATTATACTACAGGTAAAATGTCCTTTATGTGTAGAAGTATTAACCCCTATGATAAATTTTTTCATTTAAAATGTGTGGGAAAGTTTATCTTCTAGTATGAGATTTATACAAATACTATCTTTGTATATGTGTGAAATTTTCTATTTTGTTAAGATGGTGAAGAAACTTTGGTATGTTTAGAAGCTCCAGAAATGAGTAGAATTTTTAGACTATTTAGTCAATTTATATGTTTTATCTCCCCCCTTAGAGAGAAACTGCTGATTTACATATATCAGTACAAGCATTTGCTTATGTTTTTACATATGTAAAGTGCTTTTTGGTGGATAGGAATGTGGAAAGAAATGATGTTTAGTCTCATGTCCTCCATGGGTAATCCTCTTGATTTATTTCTGTTTCTGTTTTGTAGAGATGGTGGCCATGCATATTTTAACATCACTTGTTAAATCAGTCGAAACATTGAGCATGATTTTAAGAGTATAAATAGGTTGAGCTCACTGGTGATCCTTAAGACACATTTATAGACATTTCTCAGTTGCATCTCACATTTTTAAATATATTTGGATTGTTTACCAACAGAAAGTTTGAAAGCAAATATTTTTTCTCTGCTACCTTTTTATTTATTAGACCTTTGTTGTTACTTTATTGTATTGGTGCTGTTGTGAAATAAAATGCACATTTCATTAATGCAATCTTTGAACTTAATGATATTTGTATGTATATTTTCATATTATTAAAATAGAGTTGCTGAGTGCTGGTGAGTCATGCCTGCTATCCCATCTAATTCGCAGGCTAAGAACTGAGAGTTGTGGTTTGAAGCCAGCCCAAAAGAAAGTCTATTAAACTCTCATCTCCAATTAATCAGCTAGAAAAGTTAGAAGTGGAGCTGGGGCTCAAGTGGTAGAGCACTAGCCTTGAGCAAAAAGTTCAGGGACAGCACCTATGCCCTGAGTTCAAGCCTTAGGACTAGCCCACAAAAATAGAAATAATAATTTTTGCTTCAGTTTTAGTTATAAGTAAATCTCTTTACGTCTTTGTAAAGAGGCACATATGTAAGAGATGTGCAATTATATTTCTTTCCTAGACACTAATGCTCATGATAAATTTCATTTTCTTTAATGTCTCTAATGTGTCTAAAGAGTCTCTATATTGCCATATTTTGTGTTCATCCATTACTTGGCAAAAACTAATATAACCTTGTAAATAATGGGATAATTAATTTTTAAAAGTTATACATCTAGTAAATTTAAGTGTCTCAAAGTAAAATTTTGTAAATATATATTTTTAATATTGTTGTCTTCTGCAATTAAGGTGACACTTACTAATCATTGATAAATAGGCTCATGAAGCTATACAAAATTTATGTCCTGGATGGTAGAGGAGAAATCACAATACAATGAGCATTTACCTCATTTCCATAGAATAGTTGGCCATTTTCCCAAGTAAGCATTGTATATTCAAAAAGATTAAACAAAAATGACAGGTAAATTTATTGGACATTTGTCCATTATGTATTTTCCAACTTTCCAAGATACTTCTTTTTTGTCCTCATTACTGTAAGCTTTTAAAATATAAATGATTACATTATGAGATTTTGTACTACCTCTTGGAACAATACAAAGTTCTGTATGTGTTCCCTTGGTTGCATGACAATATTCAAGACAACTTTGTAAATAATAGTCAAATACAAAAGTTTAATTTTGACATCTAGTTTTTCTAGATGGTACAGAGTCTCAGAGTATAATTTTATAAAGAAGTCATTGTGAAATTTTATGATTTTATTGTTTCTTTGATTTTCTTAGTATGAATTAGATGAGGTTGTATGTTTATGAAAACATGTATTTTATCCATTTATTGGATTTTCAGGAAAATCAGAAATTTTAAGAGGTATATGTTTTCAAGTTTGCATTCTCACCCAAAGCAAAGGATTATATTTTAGCCATAGATTAGTGTGCATTTTATTGTATATTTAAAGCCATATCATGATTTGGTAGTTTTATTGATGATATAGCATTATATATGGTTTTATAATCATTGTAGGAAATACTTTTAAAGAAAAACTTCTTTCTACCTCTTTGAATTAATACCATATATACTTGGGCTGCATGACAACATTCAAGACAAGTTTGTAAATAACCAATACTTCTGATACTTAAAAAAATCTAGTTTTTACAAATGCACAGAATCCTAAAGCATAAATTTGTAACTTTCCATTGTCTAAAGTCATAGTTAAGGATGGGTTCTGGTGGCTCACACCTGTAATCATAGCAACTAAGGAGGCTTAGATCTGAGGATTGTGGTTTGAAGCCAGCCTCTCCAATTAATCACCAAAAAGCCAGAAGTGGGGTTGTAGCTCAAGTGATAGAGCACTAGCCTTGAGCAAAAAAGTTCAGAGACAGCATCCAGGCCTTGAGTTCAAGCCCAGGACTGGCACAAAACAAATACTTATGATGAGTCCTGCAAATGCTTTTTACAAAACAGTAGTGATTAATAATTGGTTTCTTATCCCTGTCACACTTTGGTGTTTTATTTTTTGGGAGAGATTTGTTTAGATATTCTACTTGATTAAATTTTTCATAAGAAAAATAACAAAAAACCAAAAACCATGAAATGTATTTTTATATTTAGAAATAAGAAGGCTATGGGAAAGAAGTTACTGACAGATTTAGAATTAGATCACTAAAATCATTGTTATTTTTGCTATGCTGTATTAACTCTTGCTAAAGTCATTATTACTTAAGAATGCTATAGTTACCTTTTGCACTCTTGTCTGCAATCCTACTACATATGCCTTCCACATAGCTGGGATTTTAGGTGTGTGCCACCAAACATAGCTTGTTGAGATGGTATCTAGTTCACTAGCTATTGTTCAGAGTGGTATTTCATGGAAATACTATTGATTTCCTTCTAAGTATCTCAAGTAGCTGAGATTGGTAGCATGCTCTACTTTGTCAGCATTAGTGTTCTGTTTCTAAGCTTGCAGATATTTAAAGTAGAAAATTTTCTTTTTTATCTTGTATTGATCAATATATAAAATGAAATGTTTTTAAACAGCAGTTTGACTAAGATAATCTAATTGAGAGAGTATGTAAATTTTCCAAAATAGCATAATGGCCTAATAAGGTTTTACTGATTATAGATCTCAAAGATATGCTTAGAAGAAAATTTTGTTACTTGGGGTATAAAAACATGAAGGTAACTGAAATATTCACCATTGAATAGAAGCTTATTCTATAGAGATTACAGCTTATTTATGTATGTATGCTCATGAATGTAATTCATACTGAAATATTCCAACACTAAAGTGCATTCTGTAGAATTTTCAATGGGTAAATGAATTAGCTTTCCATTACAGAAGTATGCATATTCCTTGAGTTTTTCTACCCACAGTGTTATGAGTTACAAAGTATTACACATGAGTAAGGACATTTTTATTGTTATGTAATATCACTGCTACAATATGGGTCATTTCATAGTTCTATTTGAAGTTTTGAAAAATGTGATAGAAAGAAAAACATATGCATACTTTTGAATTGTTACATGACAAAATGTAGAAGGAATGAATGGTTTATGTGACTAGAATATTGTCTGGAAGACTATATGGATTTTTATTCTTCATGTAGAGATGAGATTAGAAAGACTGCTTCTGTCTGCATTTGAATTTTTATAAAAACACTTACAAATGAACACTTAAAAAAGGAAATATGACAGAGACAATCACTTTGTACTTGTTTACATCCTTGCCTATCAACACCATGGGAACATTTGGTTGTGTTATCCAACTTTATATTCCTAGCAGTATGATGAGTGATTTTGTGAAGACCATTCAACATAGAAACTTTTGCATCAAAATTTTACAGTGGAGAAAACAGTGTTGATTACTTCAAGAAAGAAAGGAACAATGAAATTTCAGGTAGGAGCAAACATTGGTTAGTAAAACTAAGTTAAAAATATTAGTATGTTAAAAATGCTATGAAAATGTTTGTTTTTTGTTGGTTGTGGGGCTTGAACTCTGGTCCTGGGCACTGACCCTCAGCTCTTCAGCTCAAGTGCTCTACCACTTGAGCCACAGCACCACCTCCTGTTTTCTGGTGGTTCATTGGCAATAAGAGTCTCACGGACTTTCCTGCCCAGGCTGGCAGGAAATGTACTGATAATGCACTTGTTTAACATTTGTGAGGCCCAGGATACATTCCTTTGCACCATATATACTGTTTTTCAAAACCAGATTACAAAATAACCAAAAATGTAACAGTTATAAGCAAAGTCACATTTCGTGGTTTAATTATTTTGTTGGTCCATTATTATGCCTGAATAATCTAGGGATATCTGAAATTATTTGTATTTGGTTTACACCTTTCTCTTGTTATATTGTATTTTTTAGATGACCATTAGAAAGCCATATTTGAAGCTGCCTTGGGGGCAGCTGGTGAAGTCATCAGGAACACTCCCTTTGAGTACCTTCATAATTTACGTGTCTTCACTATAAACCATAGGTGAGAAGTTTCTGGGGGTTGGAAGCATGGCTGGTTGTTAGAATGGTGGCCACTGAGCAGAAGTATCAAGAACTGGGCTCAAGTCCTAGTCCTGGGCCAAAAAGAAATTCTGTTGCTGATTTTGGGTCATACATTGACTGAATACATCAGTAAGAAGATTTTAACACTGGTGCAGACATTGACTTTCGAATTTTCTAGCATACTGAAGAATTAAGTGAATTAAAAAGAATTAAGAATTTAAAAAAATCCTTTTTTTTTTAACGTTCTGGGTATAGTACCAAGGGCCTCAAATAAAGTCAAAAAATGTTTGCTTTACCACTGAGGTACTTCTCTTGCCCTGAATTAACCTTTTGAAAATTCAGTTTACAAAAATAAGTAAGAGGATTGGGAAGGTGGCTCAGTGGTAGAGTGCTTGTCTTGCATGCATGAGGCCCTGGGTTTGATTCCTTAGCACCACATAAGCAGAGAAAAAAAAGCCAGAAGTAGCGCTGTGGCTCATGTGGTGTAGAGTGCTAGCTTTGAGCTGAAGAGCTGAGGGACAGTGCCCAGGCCCAGAGTTCAAGCCCCATGACCGACAAAAAAAGTAAGTAAAAGGTAGATAAATGGGATGATCTTTTATTTAATTAAATTACTTATGATCAAATATGCTAGCATGCCTAATAAAAAATATAAGTACCATAAAGGAGTTTTGATAGTTAAAAGTAGTGAGTGATGACAGGTAGTAATGTTGACTCAGCTGCAGGATTGATTAAGGAAGAATTGTTTTTAACTGTTAACAGAAATTTCTAAAGATATTCAACATGGAGATCCACTTACCTGCTATATTTGCTCTTTCTTCTGTGAGGTATGTATCTCATCTTACAGTATTTCTTTTTCCTTGTTAGGAGATGAGTAAACATGTGTCATTATTATTGTTATTCCTAAGATTGACCTGCTATGGTTTCATGATCTGTTCAAATATTTTCCTTCAAGTGTTCCCTCACCAAAATTACTTTGGAATACTCCAATAATAGTAAGGACCATTGAGTGCCCATTTACTTGATTGTGCTTCTTGTCCTGTTTTAGTGTTATGCATATTTATGTATTTCTTTAAATGTATATTATACCTTGTTATATATTGTTTATATACATAGAGTTTTATATATATATCATATATATAGAGTGAGACAATAAACACTCAGCTAAGATAATCATTTTGTTATGTCAAAAGAATCTAGAATCAGGATTTCTGGTATTTTCTAGCATGTATTCAGTATTGGCAATTAAGATAAGTGAATTATGATTTATGATAATTGTAATTATGATAAGTATAATTATGATAATGATAAATTTGTCATATCAGTCTTTAAGGTTTCTACATTTTTATGTAGTTACTATTTCTTATGAAATGTGTTAGTCCCTTTATTTTTTTTTATTGGAATGCGAATGCTTAACTTTTGGTTAAGGGAACTTATGTATGCTACATATAATCTCTGCATATACGAAGGATGTGGAAGAAGAGCAATGTGAGAATAATGGACAAATTATCTAATAGTAAATATTAGTCAGTAAAATTGTAAATTTAAGGCTAATACCTAGTACACTTATTGTTAGAAAATTTCAAAAGGCATTTTTAAAATAATAGAACAAAGATTGCACATTTTACTCATTGTTGATGACTTTTTTTCTATTTTCCTTACTCTGTCTCTTTAGGTGATTACTGGAAAGGATCTTATGCCATTTTTTCTACTAATTGCTTCACTAAAATAAAAAATGGTTTTCATAATGCTCAGGGAGTTCTCACTAAACATGTGTGGCAAAGAACGGTCCTTGCGGATCAGAAACCCTGGATTCAGAAAGCCCATTTTGGAAGGAAACCTAAAGGATACCTTTGAAGGAAATACTGTTAATAATAATTGTTGATGAACTAAATCACAAGAGCTGGTTTATGGAGACATTAGTACACAGATGACTTCAATTGGTGGAATTAACAGTGCATCCTTAAGTATGAAGTGATAAAATGCATATATTTATATAAATATTATTGCTGAATGAATTTGAAACTGATTTTCATAATTATCTTTTTTTTTTTTGGTGCGGTCCACAGCGCCACTTCTGGCTTTTTTCTTTTTGCGTATGTGGTGCTGAGGAATCGAACCCAGGGCCTCAGGCATGCAAGGCAAGCACTCTGCCACTGAGCCACCTTCCTAGCCCCATAATTATCTTTTGAAAGAGTTGAAGGACAGAATTTTTCAATTAGGCATTGTTAACTATGTAGTTCTTAAAAGATTTTTTTTTTTTGTTTTTTTTTTGTCGGTCGTGGGGCTTGAACTCTGGGCCTGGGCACTGTCCTTCAGCTCTTCAGCTCAAGGCAAGCACTCTACCACTTGAGCTACAGCGCCACTTCCGGTTTTCTGGTGGTTTATTGGAGATAGGAGTCTCACGGTCTTTCCTGCCCGGGATGGCTTTGAACCATGATCCTCAGATCTCAGCCTCCTGAGTAGCTAGGATTACAGGCGTGAGCCACCAGCGCTTGGCCTTAAAAGATTTTTAAAATAATTTTTTTTTTTTAGTCTTTTGTATGTGTTGGTCCTCTCGGTGGGGCTGGAACTCAGTGCTTGGGTGCTTTACCCTAAACTTTTACAGTGCTCTACCACCACTTGAGCCACACCTCCACTTCCAGTTTTTTTTTTTTTTGGTCGGTTGTGGGGCTTGAACTCTGCTTGAGCGCTGTCCCTGCACTCTTCAGCTCAAAGTGAGCACTCTACCGCTTGAGCCACAGCGCCACTTCTGGTTTTCTAGTGGTTTATTGGAGATAAGAGCCTCACGGACTTTGCTTCCCAGGGCTGGGATCTCAGCCTCCTGAGTAGCTAGGATTACAGGCGTGAGCCACTGGCGCCTGGCTTTCACTTCCAGCTTTTTAGTGGCTAATTGGAGATATATTCTTACGGACTTTCCTGCCAGGGCTCTCCAGGTTGGCTTTGAACTGTGAACCTTAAATCTGTGCTTCTGGAGTTGCTAGAGGTACAGGTGTGAGCAACCAGCCTCTGGTCGCTGACTATATTTTTACTTTTTAAGTGATTTATTTTCAATTCACAGTGTTATTTGCAACATACTTGCAAAAATCTAGAGTTAAATAAATTTTCTCATAGGTGTTGGATTAATTTTTTTTTTTGTAAATCCTGGTGCTTGAACTTAGGGCCTGGGCACTATACCTGATCTTTTTTTCCTCAAGGCTACCATTTACCTCTTGAGCCACAGCACCACTTCTGGCTTTTCTTTTTATGTGGTACTGAGGACTCGAACAAGGCTTCATTCAGTGCTGCCCAAGTGCTCTACCTCTAAGCCATGTTCCCAGCCCCTTGGATTAAGTTCTTTAGGTATTTAATCAGTTCCCACTTCTGAGTTGTTAACAGTATATTCTTAATTCCTGGTGACAGAACAGTATATAGATAGTGCTTTGTCTTGCTAAATTATCTTCATATTGCTTGTTACTCTTTTGTGTTACTTTATTTTCTATTTTCATTTCCCTTGTAATTAGTATCTTTGTTACTTAGTCCCAAGAGGTTATTTGGGATTGTGTAATCATTTTGTTATAAATTGTAAATGAAATGTGTGTTCTTTTTTACTTTTGTTTTTTGTTGCATGAAAATTATGTATTGAAGTACAACCATTTTCTGTGTTTTTTTTGAGTCTTGTGTTTTTCTTTTAAAAATGTGGTTACATCAATATCATACATCTCCCTACTTTTTAGATACTTTTATTATTTCATTTCAGTTATCACTGTGGTGTTAATGCAATAAACATTCAAGTTATCCACCATGACTTGAACTATTGTGACTCCTTAGGGTCTAGCATACTTATGGAAAACTAGCACCTATAACTGAATATATTTCTTTTTGCTTTCTACTGATACTTTTCTGATTATTTGTGCTTTCTTATACCATTGAGTTCTATCTCATTTCTCTTCTTTTTCAGAATGCTCCCTGTCTAATTCACATGTAATATTTCCATCCAGTTTAATAGATTAATTAGGAGTGATTACATTTTTTAATGTTGAGTCTTCTTATCCAGCTGCAAGGTATGTCTGTTTCTGATTAAATTATTATGTTGCATTATTACAAGTAATGTTAGTCATTGAGATCATTCACTCAAAATACTTTCATATCAACACACAATCACAGTCAATTCAAGATGGAGGTCATATTTGTATGTATCTTTAAAATTTTTTATTGACTTTCTTTTGTGTGTGTGTATGTCTGTCTGGGGGCTTGAAATCAAGACCTGGGCACTATTCCTGAGCTTCTTTTGCTCAAGGCTACCACTTTACCACTTGAGCCTGAGCTCCATTTCTGGCTTCTTGGGTTACTTTAGTGGAGATAAGGGTCTCAAAGACTTACCAACCCAGGCTGGCTCCAAATCCCCAAATTTGACTCCTTACATTGACTCCTTACATTGACTCTTCTGTTCTTTCAACATACCCATTAGCAGCTATTTTAAACTTCCTCACCTCTGAATATTGACTAGTTTGTATTTTTTTAATTTTCCTAAGCCAGCTATAATCTTGCTGTTAGCGAAATAAGCTCCCTTCCCATAGCTTAGTCCATTCCTTCCCTTCTCTACAGCTTAGCATGCTTCCTTCCTAGGCAACACTAGGCCCATGTAGTAAAGGCAGTAAATAATCAACTTCCAACCCCCTTTACCTTGAGATGGTACTCTCTGAGGCAACTTAAACCATGTAAGGCAACAAGAGCCCCTGAGAGTGACCTTCAGGTCTGGGTAGTTGCAGAACCCCTTATCTACTATTTGGATAGCAGCCATAAATCCTAGTCCGCCATGATGAAGCCCCTGGCCCACATATCCACACTAGGGTCTCCACCTCCTAGCCTCTTCTAGCCTCTCCTAAACCTCCTAGGTCACCTCAGACAATAGTCAGTGCTTCTTCTTACTTCTCCCTTGTAAGAAGGAGTCTTGCTGGCCCCCTTTCCCAGCAATAAACCTTTCTTTGTTCTCTGTACCTGAATGTCTGCGTGGTTCTCTGGCAAAGTCTCTTGCATTTAATCTTCACCTGCCCTTACTGGGGCAGTATGAAAGCTGTATATCTCCTTAGGTCCTTGATGATATTTAAGAGAGCAAGAGCCAAGACCTGGTGGCTCACTTCTGTACTCCTAGCTACTCAGGAGGCTGAGATCTGAGGATTGTGGTTCAAAGACAGCCTGGGCAAGGAAAGTTGTGAGATTCTTTTTTTTTTTTTTTTTGGGTTCGGTCGTGGGGCTTGAACTCTGGGCCTGGGCGCTGTCCCTCAGCTCTTCAGCTCAAGGCTAGCACTCTACCACTTGAGCCACAGCGCCACTTCCGGCTTTTTTCTTTTTGATATGTGGTGCTGAGGAATCGAACCCAGGGCCTCATGCATGCAAGGCAAGTGCTCTACCACTGAGCCACCTTCCCAGCCTGTCGTGAGATTCTTATCTCCAATTAATCACCAGAAAACCTCAAGTGGCACTGTGGCTCAAGTGGTAGAGCACTTCCCTTGAGCTGAAGAGCTGAAGGACAGTGCCCAGAGTTCAAGCCCCACAACTGACAAAGAAAAAGAAAAAAGGGGAAAAAAGAAAGTAAGGTATGTGTCCTAGCAATTTTGGTTTCTCTTATCCTATCACATATAATCCCTTCACCTGCTATGGTAAGGTATATAGGTATGTGTCCCAGAATTGGTTCTCATCTCCAATCTTTTATTGCTAGGGGTGTGTGTGTGTGTGTGTGTGTGTGTGTGTGTGTGTGTGTGTGTGTGTGTGTGTGTGTGTGTGTGTGTGTGTGTGTGTGTGTGTGTGTGTGTGTGTGTGTGTGTGTGTGTGTGTGTGTGTGTGTGTGTGTGTGTGTGTGTGTGTGTGTGTGTGTGATTGTGTGATTGTGATTGTACTTTTTTTAAAATTGTGGTCTTAGACTTGGCATGTTTCTTTTAAGAGTCTATGCTTTGTCTCTATATATGTATGCATATATGTATACCTTTTACTATTTAAAACTGTTGTACCTTTACTAGCTTAAGAGTTCTTTTTTCCTTCAAATTTACTTTGTTATTATTAAGGTGATATACAGAGGGGTTACATTTACATGCAGCAGATATTAAGTACATTCCCTTCATTCTCTCCTTTTCCCTACCTCCCATCTCTACCCATGAGTTGCATAGTTCATTTTCATCAATGTCTAGTGTGCTACTCTGCTGTACTTTTTTACCCCTTTCCCTTGAGTTCTGTGCTTTCCACCCACCCTCCCACAGATATGCACGTGAATGCACCACATATATAGCAAAGAATACAGAATCATCAGAAAAAGGAAAAAGAAATTTTAAAAGTTTTGTTTCCATATCTTAAAGGTATAAAAATATCAGTGGTAGAACTATACTCAAATTATGAGGTAGTTATCTTAACCTTCAACCTGTACATATTTTTCCTCTTAGAAGACTGAAACTATACCCACTAAACATTTTGCTACTATTTTATTGTGAATGAATAATAAATATTATGTGGACGTCTACATGAATATTTACAAAGGATATTAGTCTGTACTTTGTTATTGTCTGGTTTTGTTTCAGATGGCTTCCTTATTTACATTATTTAGAAATGTTGAATTAGATTCCTGTTAGCTATTACAACCTTGCTTGACTTTTCTTTTGAAACAAGTAGTTTTAGCGTTTTTTCTTTGGAAGAGGATTTTTCATTGTAGTTTTCTTTTTTTAATTGTGTACTTGGTCTTGGTATACTTCTAAGAGTTTATTCTTAGTCTAGGTCCTCCAACTTGTTGAAATAAAGTTAATTATAGCCAGGTGCTGGTGGCTCATGCCTGTAATCCTAGCTACTGAGGAGGCTGAGATCTGTGCATAGTGGTTCCAGGCCAGGTGGGGCAAGAAAATCCATAAGACTTATATTGCCAATTAACCCCCAAAAACCAGAAGTGGAGCTATGGCCAGGTGGTAGAGTGCTATACAGAAAGCTCAGAGACAGTACCCAGGCCCTGGATCCACGCCCCAGTACCAGCACAAAATAAAAAGGATCTTCTCAACCTCCTCCTTTTTTAGGGGTATCATTGGAATTGAACACAGGGCATTTAATTTTGATGTTTGTATTCAATTCCACCTGTTACATCATTCAAAGATTACAACAGTTCGGGGACCATTTTTTTCTCAAGACTTCTTAGTCTTGAGAATTGGTTTACACCAATGTAATCTCAATTTTTTTCTTTGAAACAGTGTTTTGCTATTTAATCCGGAGTATTTTAGCCTACCTATAAGGCCTAGAGTCTTAGGCTATAACTTGCCTAGAACTTATGATACTTCTCTTTCAGCCTCCCAAGTACTGATATTACAGAAATGGACCATCATACTCAAGTATTTCTTTCTTTTTTTTTTTTTTTTTTTGCTGGTCATGGGGCCTGAACTCTGGACCTGGACCCTATCCCTCAGCTCTTCAGCTCAAGGCTAGCGCTCTACCACTTGAGCCACAGCATCACTTCTGGCTTTTTCTGTTTATGTGGTACTGAGGAATGGAACCCAGGTCTTCATGCATGCAAGGCAAGCACTCTACCACTGACCCACTTTCCCAGACCCACACTCAAGTATTTCTAGTCCCTTAAGATACTAGAATTTGAAAGCTGGGTGCTGGTGGCTTGCGCCTATAATCCTAGCTACTCAGGAGGCTGAGATCTGAGGATCGTGGTTCAAAGCCAACCCAGGCAGGAAAGTCCGGGAAACTTTTATCTCCAGTAAAACACCAGAAAACCAGAAGTGGCACTGTAGCTCAAGTGGTAGAGCGCTAGCCTTAAGCTGAAGAGCTGAGGAACAGTGCCCAGACCCAGAGTTCAAGCCCCATGACCCACAAAAAAAAAAAAAAGATACTAGAATTTGAACTCCTGCTTGACAGACAGGTATTTTTTATTTAAGTAGTTGTACAGAAAAGTCTCCATTCAGGGCGTGAAGTATAATGCATCATTTTCAATGTTATCACTTCCATCAATCTCCACATCTCACAACCCCACCCATTCCCTCAAGCTACCTGGTTCTGTTTTTACACAAGTACATGGATGAAAGTCATTGTATTTGCTCACTATTCTTCCCTTTGATCTACCCATTACGTCTCGCCCCACAAACCGCCCTTCAGCTTCCTGTTACTCATTTGGTAAATGGCACAAGTAGTTGTTTAAGAGGAATCATACCATAGGAATCCTCCCCTCATTGGACCATAGTGTGTTTATAATTTAGGTCTAACTTACATATGAGAAAAGTGTGTGCCATTTATCTATCCTTATTTCACTTAACATAATTTTTCCTAAGTTCATCCATTTCCCTGAAAATATGTCATATGTTTACTGATGAATACAATTTTATTGGTATGCATATATACATATATATGTACCAGTATATATTCCTGAAATATGAGTAAAATTCCATCATGTGTGTTTGTGTGTATACACACCATTTTCTTGATGTACTGATCGCTTGTAGGGCATTAGTTCTGTTTTCATAAATTGAGGTGAATAGTGCAGCAATGGACATGGATGTGCAAATGTCTTTACTGTATTCTGATTTGTAATCTTTGGATAAATGTTCAAGAGTGGTGCCTCTGGATCATAGAGAAGTTCTATATTTAGTTTTTTGAGACATTTCCAAACAGCCTTCCATTGTTGTTGCCCTAGTTTATGTTCCCAACAACAACATCATAGGGTTCCTTATTACATACCATTTATAGCATTTGTTGTTTGCATTCTCAATAATGGTCAGTCTTGGATGAGATGAAATCAATATTGTTTTGATTTGTATTTTCTTTATGACAGAGATGTTGCACATTTCTTCATGTAGCCATTTTTACCTCTTCATTTGAGAAGTCTTCAGCTCCTTTGCCAATTTATAAATTAGGTAATTGATTTGCAGATATTAGTTTCTTGAGTCAAATTATTGTATATTGTATATTGTACATATTAGGCCATTGATAGACATAAATATGACCCAAAATATCCAATTCTATATTCTGCTTTTAGCTCATTAACTATGTGGCAAATTCATTATTAATGAAATCATAAGCTAAGCTTTGTGTTTTATTCTCATGTGTTATAGTAATTTATAAACAAATAAATAGAAACCAACTGTAGTGAGTATGCTAAGTAATTTTGTGGGGGGGGGGGGCGTTGTGGTCAGTCTTGGGATTTGAACTCAGGGTTTTGCCTCAAGGCTAGCACTCATCACTTTGAGCCACAGCACCACTTCTGGTTTTCTGGTAGTTAATTGGAGATGAGTCTCATGGACTTTCCTGCCAAGGCTGGCTTTAAACCACTATCCTCATTTCTCAGTGTCTGAGTAGCTAGGATTATAGGCATGAGCCACTGGTGTCTACATCACAAAGTAATTTTATAGTTAATAATTTAGAAATTTATTGGAGGTTGATAAGTGATCCAAACTCACTTTTAAGGTATATTCTAGTTATAGCATTTAATAATTTTTCTATAATCTCTGATTTTACTAAAGGATTATGAGTTTAAAAAGTAAGGATTTGGGCCAAATGTGGTACATGCCTATAAATTACTCATTTTGGAGGTGGAATCAGAAGTATAGTAAGGCCAGCCAGAGTTGCATAAGCTGGATACTCCACTGCTTGACATATCTGTATCAATCCAAGTAATTGTCTTTATATTGTAGACGGCACTCTTTAATAGTGTTGGTAAGAATCAGTAACTCTGCATATACATTGCTAGTCCTTGGGTTTGAACTCAGGTCCTGGGTACTGTCCGTGAGCCTTTGCACTCAAAGCTAGCTTTGAGCTACCATCTCTTTGGTAGTTAGTTGCAGATAAGGGTGTCATTGATTTTCCTGCCCAGGTTAGCTTCAAACCATGATCTTCATATCTTCGTCTCCTGATTAGCTAGAATTACAGGTATGAACCACCAGAGCCAGCTGTTGGTATATTTTTGTCCAGTGTGATATTAAAACTATTAACTTACAATATTTAAAAATCCAATATATTCTAGATGAATTTTAGGAACCTACAAGATTGTCACATTCTGGAGTGATATAGTAGAAGAAATGAAAACATTCTTTAATTTTGATACTGAGTTTCAGTGAACATTACGTATTTTGATTTACTTTCTCCCATCTTGTTACAAAATGTGATGTTACCCAAGTGCTATGGTACATCATTGTATTCTCAGCTATTCAGAAGCCTAAGGAGAAGTATTGCAAGTTCAAGCCTAGTGATAGCCCATCTCAAAAACAAAACAGTATTAGTGTGATATTATCCAAACAAAGACTAAAATGTTTTTTTGTATGAATACTCAGTTACTTTAAAATTTGCTAATTGATAATAACTGTTTTGAAATGTACCATTGGACGAAGGATAGTAGAAAACATGAATTTTGGCAAATTGAGAAAGAGTGAGTGGATATTACAAAAGCCAAGTCAATATCAAATAGGGCTTGCTGCATGTTTGAAGTTAGGATATTACTAAATATTAAATTTAAGGTATTTCTAGTACTAGTGGATGGCCAATGTGAGCAGACAGGAGCTAAGGAATATTTAAGTATTGGGGAGGTAAAACAGTCTTAACATCTTTTCCTTTAAGAAACAAACTAAGATTCTTTAAGTATTTTAAGCATTCCTTGTGTTTTTCTTTCACAGGCCTCTTTCCAAACAAAGGACCAAAGACACTTTTCTTGAAGGTAAGTTGATTAAGGACTATATTCTTATTTTAAGCTATTATTTTGGCCATGCTGATTATAAAGCAGATTCTTGTCTAACTTGTTCAAAGTTACAACGTTATATAGTTTTAGAGACATCCCCCCTTTTTGTCACTCAGAGGGCTTGAACTCAGGCCTTGGGAGCTGTCCTTGAGTTCTTTTTGCTCAAGGGTGGTATTCTACCACCACTTCTGGTTTTCCGGTGGTTCATTGGAGATAACAATCTCAGGATCTCTGCCTCCTGAGTAGCTAGGATTATAGTTGTAAGCCATCAGTACTTAGTATTTCCAGTGAACCACCCAAACTCCAGAATGGAGCTGGTTCAGGTGTTAGAGCACTAGCCTTGAGCACAGAAGTTCAGGGACAATTCCCAGGTCCCAAGATATGTACACACAAAAAAGTACAGGTCTGTTATTATAGTGTTTAATAAAATTGATAACTGAAATATAAGGTATATCCTTTTGTACTACTAGAATTTGTAAGAGGAACGGCCATGAAAGCATACAGAATAGATATTTGGATGTTACAAAAATTGGATTTTTTTCTGGAATGGAAGTCTATGAAATAATATGGAATATACAGTGTGTTATTAGAAATTTGGAATTATGACTCTTAAAATTGTATGTTAATTACTACCAAGAAATGATTAATCCAGGCCCTGGTGGCTCATGCCTGTAATCCTAGTTACTCAGGAGGCTGAGATCTGAGGATTGTGGTTCAAAGTCAGCCTAGGCAAGAAAGTCCATGAGACTCTTATCTCCCATTAACCACCAGAAAACCTGTGAATGTGGCTCAGGTGGTAGAGCATTAGCCTTGAGCTGAAGAGCTGAGCAACAGCGCCCAGGCCCAGAGTCCAAGCTCCATGATCGATGGAAAAAAAAAAAAAAGATTATATGCTGGTTGAAAGGATAAATAATAGGTGTTTACATCGCATGATAATTACTCAAATCACAATCTACAGGCAAAGGAGATAATAGTTCCAACACTTTCATCAAGTCTGTTTATGTTCCTTATGTTCCTTAATTTAACATTAATATTGTGGGGTTTGGGGTTGGGGATTTAGCTCAGTCCAAGAGCATTTCTCTGGCAAGTACAAGGCCCTGAGTTTGGTTGTCAGCTCTGGAAAATAAAAACAAAAGCAAGATTGTAGGGTTCTTTTTTATGCCAGTAGATACTTAAATATGATATCATATCCATTTGTTAAAGGTCTGGTTCCATTTCCAATCTTGTGTTTTATACTCTCTCAGGTAGAGGCCTTTTGGACAAGTGCATTACCTATACCTTCTGCAGTGGTTTAATCCATATCACCCAAGTATTGCCATCATTTATCCTTTCTGGGATCTTGCTGCATCTGTGTCTCACTCCTTTTATAGAAGACTGCCTAGAAATAGAAAGTGACCTGCTTTTCGGCAAGTAATTGCCTAGAATTTTGAATACATAACAAATGTTCTCATTATATCTTATGCTTCCCTCTATGGTTGTATATTTGCTGCTTCATTTTGTTCACATTTTGCTTTGCTAATGTAAAAGTGGTTTGTGTGAGCAGTGTATTTAGTAAAATTCTTTGGTGACCTTTGTTATACAGTAAACAATAATAAGGCATTCTACATAGGTGAATGATTAGTGTGTGCCAGTTTTGTAAAATACTTTCCCCTTTGTTTGTGTCAGAAAGTCCAGAGTTTTAGGCAAGACCTAAAATTATTTTAAATATTTCCTATCTGGTGTATACCCTCTAGTTTACCCTTTTGTTGAATATATATGGGTCTCATTCTTGGTCAGAAATAGACTGACTGTGCTTTGCCTCTTTTCCAATGCTAAAACCTAAGATTAAGATGTCATCACAACTTTGAATGTTTAACAGAGAGCCAGATATTTATCTCGACATTTACAGCCATGGTGATGTCATCTTATAGAAAATGTAGTCCCATCAATTTCTTGGTAGTGATCTCTTCTTTGGATGGAATAAAAATCTCAGTACCAAAGTTATGTTAGTTTGTTCTACATCATCTCAACTTTAATTTGGGTTCTACTTAACCTAAGTGTAGTTAATATAAAGTTCTGTTTATTTGAAGTTTTAACTATCTATTTATAGATTATAAACTGTTTTGTCCATCAGGGAACTATTGCCTTCATTGCTACTCAAAGAGGCAAGTTTATACAAGTAGAGCATTCATTAACATTGCCTCATCTTATTTTAGTGTTAGCAAAAAAAGCAATTGCTAGGATTTTAAGATTGTAATACTCCCTTTCTTTTAAAGTCTGTTTTAGCCACAGAATATTTAATGATTTAAATTATTAAATATATGCTGCTATCCATTTCACCTTTCTCATTATAATTCATTTCTTTTAACTAGATACTGAAGTATAATCTGTGTTCTTTATATAGTACCCATTTTATATACAGTGAAATTTCCTTTTAAAATGTTAGTATTCTAACCATATACTTTTATTTTACTAAAATATTATTTTGTTTTTTGGTAGGGATAACCTAACTTTGTTTTTAAGGAATGAGGCCTTAAAAGACCATACAGGTGCAAATAGTCAACTCTGCCATCAAACTGTGAAATCAGCTATGATTAATCCTTAAACAAATGTATATAACTGTGTTCTAGTGAAATTTAACTGACACAAAACAGCTAATAGGCCAGATTTGGAACAAAGTCTATAGTTTTCTTATCCTTGGCCTATGGTATAAGTTCCATTTTATCATATGAAAGTCAGGTCAATAGAAAAATCAAAAGGGAGAAAAATAATTTCTTCTTGTGTCAGTTTTCTGAATCCTCAAACTTGTAATATGGAGTTAATAATGGAAGGAATGTATTTTAGGCTTTTGTCTTGGCTCCTAAATCTCAATTTTCTATATATCTTCCCCTGATACCCACCTTTGCATTTAGGCTAATAGTACATTTGAAAATGGCCATAAAATTAATGAAGAATTAAATGATAGAAATCAGTCTTTGATCTTTATTTGTTTTCCATCTTCCAAGTGTGACAAATGTTAAAAGTTAATCTCATATCTTATATATTTAATGTTGTCTAAGGTTCTATAAATTTATGTGAAATTCTGAATGATTGTTATGGGAAATGTAATCTTGTAACATTTTATTTTCTTTAATATGTGATGATATATTTCCAGGCCAGTAAATACATATTACTTTTAATTGGAAATAAAGTTCACATGATGATATATTGAAGTATTTCTTACTTTGGGAAATGTAGGTTAACTTAAAATACTTGCTTTGATTGTACACAAATTATTGTATTGTTTAAAATTATATCTAGTCTAATGAATTTTGGATTCCTAGTTCTATATAGTAGAATTCGAGGTATTGTTGAATCCTAACTCATGTATGCTTTTGGTTTCAATTGTTATTTTCATAATGCCAAAAGCTTTCTGGGAACCATAAAACAATTTTGTAACAGCAGTGCTAATTTTCATAAAATTTTATCTGATGCTTATTAACAGCTTTTATAATTTTAGGTAACATATCTGATGGCTATTAATAACCTTTACTTTTTCAGCCAATCTAATAGGTGAAGTAATATATTAAAGTATTAAGTTTGATTTAAATGAAACATGGCCATGTATTTAAAAATCTAAATATTCACGGGTATTTAATAACAGAATTAATACTCTCCTGTCTTTCAATCTCAAGAAATATTCAGATTTTCAGAGCTAGAAGCCTTGAAAAATTTCCAAATTCAGTACTTCTTCCTAAACTATTAAGTATACCACTCACACGGGGCTTTTTCCTTTTACAACTAATTTTATGTTTGGAATTGCAAGATTCATATGGGGAATCCTCACATAATTCCTCATTAAGATTGACTTGCTCTCTGCTTTGTTCTTTCTCACTTTACTTTCTTCATTCCTCTTTTTTCTCTTCACCATCATCTATAGTGTTATTAGTCTGTGAACTATATCTAGTTACAATCATTATGTCCCTTTAAACCAAAAAAGTTTCAGCATTTGCTTTCTAATTAATCTGGTCATTCCCATTAAATGAATCCATAGTTTAAAATTGCAACATAATACAGTATGACATTCATATTTTATCAGTTGTCATAGTTCTATTTTATTAGCATTTCTTTCTTCATTTATAATAATATATTCTGAAAGAATATCTCTTTTTGTGAGAGAGCAGTAGTGGAAATTGAATTCAGGACTTTGTATGATAGACAAGCACTTTACTTTTGAACCATGCCCCCTAGTGTTTGTAGTGTGTTTAGCACAAAGTATCCAGCACTTTTGTCCAGCCAGGCCCTGTTCAGATTGCAGTTCTACTCTCTTTTACTCCATGGCCTGGATTTCAGGCACGCATCACCTTACCTAGTATAGATGCCATGTCTCTTCCTTCTTTTTTGAATAACCAAATCAATACTCTATAATCTCTGTAGTTTCACATTAAAGTCCTACCTTCTAGTGGAAACAAAGAAATAGGAATACTTTAAGGACAAGATTATAATTTCAACTTCCTATTTCTTTGGAAAATTGTTTTTGAGCCAATTATTTGCACAAAGCCTCAAACCTACCTATGACACATCTCACAATTAATTAATCAAGTACATTAGGTTAATTCCAAGGCAAACTATATAATTTATTTTAAAATGCCAATCCCATATTTATTTGAATGTTTTGAAATGTGTTCAAAGATTTTCAACACATACTTTGCTACATAAGGTCCATCATTTTATCCTGTTTTTAAAAATTTTCCCCAAGAAAATCAAGTTATAAATTGGCCATTTTTTTCACTAAGAATTATAAAAATTCTAAAAATATGTTTCTTCCCATAACTCTCTATTCAGCTTTTTCAAAACTAGCTTTTTCTTATTCAAGAGCTTTGGACAAATATTGCCTTGTTTAATGAGCTATGTTTTATTTTCAACTCACATCTGCATTATTAAGGTTTTAAAAGATTTTGAAATTCTCTTGTATAATCACTCATTTGTCTACAAACTCTCTTGTCTATCTGTCTTTCTGTAGATAGGTTTGTCCTTTGTCACCAACATTGACCTCATTTTTGTAATGCTCCTTTGTGATTGTCCTGAGTTGGTATTATGGGTATATGCAGCAATGTCTTACTCCAGTTTCCTGTATTTATATGTTCAAAAAAGTTAGGTAAGACCAAGATCACTACTGATGATATCTATATATAAACACTGATAATAAAGCAAAGGTTGAATTAAAGCAATTTATGGTCATTTCACAGTTACATTAAATTTGTGGTTCTTTGTTGGCTTACATAGGTCTATGAAAATACTGGGATTTTGGATGTTTTCTTTGTTGTTGTTGTTGTGGTTGTGGGGCTTGAATTCTGGCCTGGTGCTGTTCTGGAGCTCTTCAGCTCAAGGCGAATGCTCTACCACTTGAGTCACTTGGTGGTTCATTGGAGCTAAGAGTCTCACGGACTTCCCTGCTGGGACTGGTTTGAATTTCATTCCTCAGATCTCAACTTACTGAGTAGCTAGGATTACAGGCGTGAGCCACCAGTGCCCAGCTTGGATGTCTTTTTAAAGTATTGCTAGTCTGATCTGATAAAAACATTTAATGTTGCCAGGTGTAATGGTATTTAAATAGATTTATTACTTAAATAGATTTATTATTTAAGATTTATACTTTAAAAGCTGAGTAAGTGGCTAGATATTTTGTAATACTCCTGTAATTCTAGCACTCTAGAGTCTGAGGAAAGAGAATGCTAGTTTAAGGACAGCCTGAGCTACATTGTGAGACAATGTCTCAATAAATACCTTATAAAAGAAAACAAAATGACATCTGAGTAAATGATGACACCATTTATCATTATTGTGTTGGGAAGTATGATTTCTCTCAAAGTTCTTGTTAAGGAAAGAGATGTGTTTTTTGTTGTTGTTGTTGTTGTTGTTGATCTTGGGGCTTGAACTCTGGGCTTGAGCACTGTCCCTCAGCTCTTCAGCTCAAGATGAGCACTCTACCACTTGAGCTACAGCACCACTTTTGGTTTTCTGGTGGTTTATTGGAGATACGAGTCTCACAGTCTTTCCTGCCCGGGCTGGCTTTGAACGGTGATCCTCAGTTCTCAGTCTCTTGAGTAGCTAGGATTATAGGCATGAGCCACCAGCGCCTGGTGAGATGTGTTTTTATAGTAAACCTTTAGGTAATGTTTTTAACGTTGAAAATAGGAAGTTTAGAGATTCATTATAGTTTGGAGATAGAGAATTCTTTGAATACATGACTTCTTTCTTATAGACATGTTTCGACATGATTCCTAGAGACAACATTAGTGACAGTGGGAATATATTTCAGATTTTCTAGCTTGAAAGGGTTGAAAAATGTTGAGAATTCATAATCAGGTAGATAGTTTTATTTACTGAAAAGCCAGAGAATATGCTATCCCTGAAATAAATGAAGAATCAGATTTTACAATATATGAGCTAACTATTGGCATTTGTATGGCAATTAAAAACACATTTGACTGTGTAAATACAGCAAAAAAAAAACCACCATTATTTTAGATAAAGATGCAGGGAAAGATGGAGAGGCAATGGTTTTAATTATGTTAAAACCAAATCAGAAGGTTTTCCTTTTAATTGATAGTGTGCCCATTAATGATGCTAACAGTTTCAGTCCAGCATAGGTGCCTATACCTTGGGGGTGATTTGCATGAATCAGCATATGAATATAATAAAGATGTATCACAATTGCACAATTTGGGATTTCCTTCAGCATTTTACATTGTTTGTATATAGGAGAGTACTGATTTTTCTTAGAACTCACATTCCCAATGGCCTTATTTGTATACCTTTATCATTTGACTTCCCACTTGTATTGTTTCTATCTGGTCTTGCATATATTATCCATTTAGGATGGTTCATTGAGGCAAGATCGCTGAATTGTTCAGCAGTCATGGCTGAAAAGATTTATCAAGATTGCTATATAAAGGAATGTGTGAAACGTGTCAAGTGAAAATAATGTTAGAAGCATAATGATAAATAAGTGAAGGACAAAATAAGGATAGTGCTAAAAATTGAGTTAATAAAACAGATGTAAAGAAGATAGAATTTGAAGTGAAGTGTCGAAAGGAAAAGTGAATGTTCATTTAGTCAACACTTAGGTAGTTCTCGAAGGTAATAAGTGGCAATTATTCTCATGGAAGTCAAGGACAAGATATCAATGGCCTTTACCAGTTGAGTCAGGGGAAGAAGTTGAATCATCAGAAGTATATTGTCCATTGTACTTTCCTACCTGATGTGAGTGCAGAAAATTTCCAACCTATCTCCATTTGTACCATTGATTAATACGTAATGTTTTTTGGGCTTCTGATATGTCAGTTTGTTTAATTTTTTTACATTTAATATACTATAAATAATGAGCTCCTATTGACAGGGATATTTTCCTATTCATATTTAACTTTCCATTACCTTACAAAGCCTAGCAATATAGCATTACTGTGTTGACTTACCTAGACAATAATGTGAAATTTTGATGAATGAGCCCTAGTCAGGGAAGAAAATAAGTGTTTATGGAGATGCAATAGAAGGTGGCTGTTCGATAGTGTGCTTTGGGGGGAAGATGATACCATCCCTGATGGAATTATAGAGTTGGATTGTGTATTAGTGTATTAGTGAACTGAGCAACTGATAGGTTAGACAATTTGATGATGAAAGCTTGGGATTGGTTAAAATGCTCATTGATAATTATTAAGTACTAGAATATACTACATGTGTTCTTTCCTGCATTTATGATATGTATCATTGGTGTTATTTTCACTGTGTTCTCTCAAAAGACAATCCAGAGAGGAAAACTTGGGGGTCCTAGTTGTTGTAAACAGAGGAAAATAGTGCTCCTGGTATATGCTATCCAGTCTCTAGGGAGGGATTTATTTCACTATTATTCACTCTTCTAGTTGAAAATTCTCCTTTAATGGAAGAACTATGTTGTAGAGAGGCTGTGAACAGGTTAATGGCAAGAAATTACATTTCAGAATGTATTCACTAACTACTGACTTTTATTCATCTTTAGAGGAAATTATATAGTACAGTCTGCATTGGCCCACTTCAGTGAGGTCATTTAGTGTTTTTATTATCCATATATATATATATATATATATATGTATATATATATATATATATATATATATAGTCTTTGACCTTCCTAATTTAAAAAGATTGCTTAAGGTATTGGTATAGCATCCTACCATGCTAACTATC